GACGGGTGTGGCGCATGGCGGGGACGACGGCCTTGAGGATGGCGTTCTGGAGGGCGACGGTGGTGGTGACGGACGATGCAAATTTTGCGATGAGTTCAGCGAGGATGTCGAGCGAGTCGATGAGGAGCTCCTGGGAGGCGGCGGCGTCGGCGACGTGGTTGAGGAGTTTGGGCGCGAGCTTGTTGAGAGCGGCTGTGGCGTACGACGAACGGGTGGGCATCTGGGCTGTGACCGTCTTGAGCGCGAGAGCGGCGATGTCCCTGAGTTCGTCGTTGTCGGAGGAGATGTAGTCGATGAGGGTGTCGACGACGAGCTGCAAGGACTTTTCGCGGAGGCGGGGCACGAGGATGGCGAGGGAGCGGACGACCATGTTTTTGACCTCGGTGTTGGTGTCCTTCATGAGGTCGAGCACCTTGCGGACGACGTTGTTCTCGGTGGACTCGTCCATCTGGATGTAGGAGTCCTTGGAGAGTTCGGCGTTGAGGTCGTTGAGCGCCATGAAGCGGAAGTCGGAGTCCTGCGACTTCATGCGCTCGAGCAGGGGCGCGATGCCCGTGTGGGCCCACGACGAAGCCATCGTTTCTGGAAAGATCGCTGAAGGGCGTCGAGGATGATGGAAGTAAGCCAGAGGCGAAAGGCACGGCTCAGCGCGGTCTCGATTGATCGAATGCGGGACGCGTGCATCTGTTGCTTCAGCAGTAAAAGTGGAGTTCCGGCTCAGCTTCCAAATCGCTAAATCGCTGCACCGTGCGAGTGCCGAACTTTTGGAATGTCAGGTCGCCTGAGCTCACATTAGAGAGCATCAGGTTGAAACTGTCAGAAATTGCGATCACACACTATTGCATCTTTTGTCACGGACCAATCCCGATTGAAGCTCGATCCCACTCACATCGTCGATGATGATTGCGCTCTAGGGCCGTGTGGCGAGGCAAAGGCAGAGCCGCACTGCTTGAGCTGCTTAGAAGCTGGGAGGGGCCGAGAGGAGCTGGCGACGTCGACCATGGAACCCGTGGATGCTAGACAGACGAGCCAAGAGTTTTCAGGCTGCCCACGTTCGCTGTGGTGGCTTGCTCGTCCCTAGCGACGTTCTGAAATGGGGTGTTTGCGCGGGGGTTTTTTTTTT